GGCTATTGGGAAGGCTGAGTTTGGCTATTGGGAAGGCTGAGTTTGGGCTATTGGGAAGGCTGATTTTGGCTACTGGGAAGGCTGAGTTTGGGCTATTGGGAAGGTTGATTTTGGCTATTGGGAAGTCTGATTTTGCAAGCTGGTAGCTGATACAACTTATTTGGAAAACATAACATAATATAACATAACATAAAATAACACAATACACCATAACAAGGTGATTTTAAACAGAATGGTTTCCTTTATCTAGTGTCCATGCTTCACTTCAGAGCTTAGCATTCTGGTTTATACAAACCCCAATGCTTTTGTGATTAACACCAATCTTTTATCAATTATCACAAAATTATCATCCTGGGAGAAATTCTCCCCACAGGAGCTGCTCAGCTCAGGGAGAGCAGCAGGAGCTGCAGCCTGAGGAGGATTTTACAGGCTGGGATTTTGCCCTGTAGGAGCTGCTGGTCTGGATGGTCAGGACTGAGAGATCTCTAAAGCCAGGCTTTGGAACTCATGGTCTGGACAGTCAGGACTGAGAGATCTCTAAAGCCAGGCTTTGGAACTCATGGTCTGGACAGTCAGGACAGAGAGATCTCTAAAGCCAGGCTTTGGAGCTCATGATCTGGACAGTCAGGACTGAGATCTCTAAAGCCAGGCTTTGGAACTCGTGGTTTATTGAAAGGGCGTGGGTGAAAGGGCCCAGCTCGGAGCAGGCTGTGAGAGCAGGAGGGCAAGAGGAAAAGGAGTAAAAAGAGAGCAGGGGGTAAGAATTAAAAGGGTAAGGGTGGTAAGAGGTAGGAGAGTAAGAGTGGTGATAGGAGAGAGTAAAGTAAGAGAGATAAGAGAAATAAGAGAAGTAAGAGAAATAAGAGAGGTAACAGAAATAAGAGAAGTAAGAGAGGTAAGAGAGGTAAGAGAAATAAGAGAAGTAAGAAAAGTAAGAGTGGTAAGAGAAATAAGAGGAGTAAGAGAGCGAAATTCCCATTACAATCCATTTTCTTCCGTGTTGAATATTCCAATTTTCACTCACCAATCCAATCCAAGATACAAATCCTATAACATTTACACACAGCCTATAAGAATCACTACATTACCAGAACGTGTTACACTTTAAACTTTAAAAACCACTCTTTGGACTCTCTTTACCAATCCAGCAGGGTCTTCTCTGCCCCTTGGCCCTGTCTGCAGGCACAGGGGGTTGTTCAGTCAAGGGGGGATTCCGGGGTTGTTCACTCAAGGGGGGATTACAGAATTTTTCAGTGAAGAAGGGATTATTTTCAGCTACCCACACTGTTGTTTTCTAGTTCACTAACGAAGCTTTACCTTTCATTTCCACCTCTCTTACAGCACCCATATTCTCCAAATCCTTCACCAGGCCATGCCACGGATAACATTTCCCATTCCCACGTCCCTCTCCCCCGGCAGTGTCCCGCGTGGCACTCACTGTTACAGCGATCACAGGCGTAGATCCTCCCCTCCAGCGCCTCGGTCTCGGTGAACTTGGCGAGCATTTCGGTGAGCAGGCACTGAGCCTGGCCCAGCGGCAGCAGCCGCTCCTCCAGGCCGTGGTAGCGCTGCGGGAATTCCAGAGACAGATCCCAAAAAGGCTCCACGGTGTCGGATTTGTGGTTGCACGTGCTGCAGGTGACCTGCAGGGGACACACGGGGAGCGCGCTGAGAGCGCTGCGCCAACAGCTGGGGCCGAGCTGCTGCTCATGGCTCAATTATTGCTTTTTATTTTATTGATCTCTGTTCTTTATGGATTGGTTTATTGATTTCTATTCTTTAGGGGTCATCTCATTGCCTTTTATTGATTTCTATTTTTATGGGTTATTTATTGATTTTTATTGATCTCTATTCTTTATGGGTCAATTATTGCTTTTTATTGATCTCTGTTCTTTAGGGGTCATTTATTGCTTTTTATTGATTTCTATTCTTTAGGGGTCATTGATTGCTTTTTATTGATTTCTATTCTTATGGGTCATTTATTGCTTTTTATTGATCTCTGTTCTTTATAGATTGGTTTATTGATTTCTATTCTTATGGGTCATTTATTGCTTTTTATTGATCTCTGTTCTTTATAGATTGGTTTATTGCTTTTTATTGATCTCTGTTCTTTAGGGGTCATTTATTGCTCTTTATTGATCTCTGTTCTTTATGGATTGGTTTATTGATCTCTATTCTTTAGGGGTAATTTTATTGCTTTTTATTGATTTCTATTTTTATAGGTCATTGATTGCTTTTTATTGATTTCTATTCTTTAGGAGTCATTTATTGCTTTTTATTGATTCCTATTCTTTAGGGGTCATCTCATTGCCTTTTATTGATTTCTATTTTTATGGGTCAATTATTGCTTTTTATTGATTTCTATTCTTTATGGATTGGTCTATTGATTTCTATTCTTTATGGGTTATTTATTAGTTTTTATTGATTTCTATTCTTTTTGGATTGGTTTATTGATTTTTATTGTTTATGGGTCATTTATTTCTTTTTATTGATTTATATTGTTTATGGATTATTTTATTGCTGTTTATTGATTTCTATTCTTTATGGGTCATTTATTGCTTTTTATTGATTTCTATATGGATTGGTTTATTGATTTCTATTTTTATGGATTGGTTTATTGCTTTTTATTGATTTCTATTCTTTATGGATCGTTTTATTGCTTTTTATTGATTTCATTGTTTATGGATTATTTTATTGCTTTTTATTTACTATCTATTATTTCTCTTATTGTTCATTTATTGATTTTAGTTATTGATTTAAAGTTTTGTTTATTGTTTTAAAATTTTATTTCTTTTTATTTCTTACTTATTTGTATTTCTTAGTTATTTTTATTTCTTATTTGTCCATTAATTTTGTTTACTATTTTAAAATTTTTACTGACTTCAATTTTATCTATTTATTGATTTTTACTGTACACAGCTTATTTTTACATGGTATTAGAATGCACTGTGTGTGATTTTAATTGGTCAGTAAATGACTGAAACTTGGTTGTGGTGGTTTTGGTTTGTAAATTTGAAATTTTTTTGTTGTGAGATAGGACTAGGATGAAGGTAAAACAAGTTTAATTTGAAATGGTATAAAGAGAAACTTTATTACTAGAAATTATACGAAAAAAATACTTTAGACTATTTTCTTGTATTTTTTTAATACTGAAAATGTTTAGAAAATAATTTAATTAGTTTGCTATTTTTAAAATATTTTTTTATTAATTTATTGGAAGATAAATCCCTCAGGATTCTCTTTCTCCAGGTCCTCCCCCAGTGTGGGAATTGCACAGGGTCGTTATAATTTATTATTTTTATTTTTATATTGTTTATTTATTATTGTTTATTTCTTTATTGTTTGGGGTGTCTGTGCAGGTTGGATTTGATCCCTGTGGGTCCCCAGAAACTTTGTCAAGCACGTTCAATGTTTGTGCTGGCAAAAAATAAAATTGTCACAAAGAGCTTGTCCAGAGGTCCAGAAACAACAAAAAGGGACAAAAAATAAAAATAAAAATTGCAAAGGCACCTTAAAAAGAAATTCAAACCCTAAAGTCTGGGTTTCACCCAGAATGGCTCAACTGAAGGGAATTTGTGCTGCATGTGACAGGGATGGAAATGGTGGCACCTGCACTGCAAGAAAAGGGAGGTTTCCTCAGGAATTGGGAAATTGGGAATTCCTAAAACTCCTAAATAGGATCCTCAATATGCAGAGCCTGTGCACAGCTCCAACTGATCCCTGTGGAAAAGCAATTCCATACCTGCCTGTGGAAAATGGTGTTGACCACCTTGAGGAACTTTTCCACAGGAATTGGGAATTCCTAAGACATTCCCAAATGGGATCCTCACCATGCAGAGCTGTGCAAAGCACCAAGTGTGATCCCTGTGGAAAAGCAATCCCATACCTGACTGAGCACCTGCACAGCAACCCAAGGGAGTTTTTCCTCAGGAATTGGGAATTCCTAAGACACTCCTCAATGGGATCCTCACCATGCAGAGCCGTGCACAGTTCCAACTGCTCCTTGTGGAAAAGCAATTCCATACCTGCCTGTGGAAAATGGTGTTGACCACCTTGAGGAACTTTTCCACAGGAACTGGGAATTCCTAAGACATTCCCAAATGGGATCCTCAACTTCCAGAGCCTTTGCTCCTTGCTCCAAGTGCTCCCTGTAGAAAAGCAATCCCATACCTGACTGAGCAGCTGCCCGTGGAAGATGGTGTTGACCACCTTGAGGACCTGCTTGGTGAGCTTCCTCTGCGAGAAGGGGATGAGGATCCTGCGCTTGGTGCCCTCGGACTCCAGCTCCTGCTGCACCTTGTCCAGGAGCTCGCAGAGGAATTCCTGAGCGTCCTGCTGGTCGTAGCCACGGAAGGCAGGGATCAGGCTCCACACAGAGTGCAGCATGGCAACGGGGGACACCAGGGCCCACTTGCCAGACCACATCACCCTGAACAGGGTGTGCAGCTCGTGGCACAGGGAGATGTGCTTTGAGCTGGGCTCCTTGGGCTGGATCAGCTCCAAACTCCTGCTGATGGAGGAGCCCCCGTTCAGGCCGGCTGGAGACGATCCCACCCTGTCAGGCTTGCCTGGCTCGTTAGCAGCAGCCCCGTTTGCCAGTTTGCCAGGCATCCTGGCCCTGCCATTCACAGTTTTAGCTAAAAGTTCTTCTGTTTCACAGAGATCAAGAGTCAAGAAACATTCTCGGAACTTCTGGAGGTGGCTGAGCACCTGCAGGATGGAGTTCATGTAGCAGGTGTTGCCCAGGTTCCTCAGCCCCGTCACCCCGGGCGTCACCAGGGGCTGGCGCCGGATGGAGTAGAACTGCTTGAATCTGCTGCTCTGCACCTGCCTTGAGGTAGGGGAAGCCGTGGCCACGTCCCTGAATTTCCTTGGGATCAAGCTCTCCCTGTGCACGTGGGACAGCAGCCTGGCGCTTTTCCTCGGGGGAGTGTTGGCCAACTCCTCCAGGAGCTGCCTCTTCATCTCCCGCCGCCTCTGCCGAGCCGCCTCCTTCTTCTTCTCCAGCTCCTCCATTTCCTTTTTCTCCTTCAACTTCAGCTGTCCCCGGGAGCTCCTGTGGAACCAGGTGCGCAGAGCCCTCGCCAGCAGGGCCTGGCGCCGGTGCCACAGCGCCGTGAGCATCTGGGACTGGCCCTGAGGGCTCCTCCTCCTCCAGGCATCCTCGGGCAGCGCCATGGAGCGCAGCGTCCTCCCGCTCCTCTGCCCCTTGATGGCCGACAGCGAGCTCCTCAGCAGCTTCAGGTCACCCTCGGCGTTGTCATTGAGGACATAATCCTGGCACAGGTAACAGAAGACGTAGAGCTCGTGCACCTCCATGGCCAGGGGGTGCCGGCTCTCCTGGAAGTGTCTCAGGGCGTGCTCCTCGATGTAGCGGCCGCAGGCCACGTGCGAGCACTTGAGGCAGGCCCAGAGCGACTCGGTGGTGTGGCAGTCCACGCACTGCCACTTCTGCGGGTTCAGGATCGAGTGGTCCTGGGCGAGTCGTAGCCGCCCCACATGTTTGCATCGATCCATGTCTCACAGGAGGGGTCGCTGCTCCCACCTTGGGGGGGAAGATCACAAGAAAAAGTGTTTTAGAGATTTGACATGTGCTTGAAATCCCTTTCCATGGGATCATGGAATATCCTGACTTGGAAGGATCATCAAGGATCATCAGCTTTGACTCCTGGACATCCCAAATTCCCTCTGTTTGTATCTATCCATGTCTCATAGGAAGTGTTGCTGCTCTGACCTCGGGGGGCAAGAACACAAGGAAAAGGGTTTTAGAGATGTGACAAATCTTGTTGTAGGGTCACTGGAAGGGAGCCTGACTGGAAGGGTTAGGGATCATCAAATCTGACTCCTGGCCCTGCACAGCACACCCCAAATTCCCCACATTTGCATCTATTCACATCTCACAGGAGGTGTCACTGCTGTACAGAGGCAAAGAACACAAGGAGAAGGATTTTAGAGCTGTGATGTGTTTGAAATCTTGTTGTAGGGTCATGGGATATCCTGGGTTGGAGTCATCAGACCTGACTCCTAGTCCTGCAAAGGACACCCCAAATTCCCTCTGCTTGTATCTGTCCATGTCTCACAGGAGGCATCACTGCTCCCACCTTGGGGGGAAAAATCCAAGGAAAAGAGTTTTAGAGATGTGACACACACTTAAAATATTTTTGTATGGTCATGGGATATCCCCAGTTAGAAGGGGGCCAAAAGGATCCTCAAATCTGACTCCTGGCTCTGCACAGCACACCCCAAATTCCCTCTGTTTGTATCTATCCACGTCTCACAGGAGGTGTCACTGCTGTACAGAGGCAAAGAACACAAGGAGAAGGATTTTAGAGCTGTGAAACACATTTAAAATCTCCTTGTAGGGTCATGGGATATGACTGGAAGGCTCAAGGTTAAGGATCATCAAATCTGACTCCTGGTCCTGCATGGGACACCCCAAATTTTCCACATCTGCATCTATCCATGTGTCACAGGAGGTGTCACTGCTCCAACCTTGGGTGGCAAGAAACACAGGAGAAGGGTTTTAGAGCTGTGAAACACACTTGAAATCTTTTTGTGTGTTCATGGGATATCCTGATTGGAAGGGGTCCAAAAGGATCATCAGATTTTACTCCTGGCCCTGCATGGGACACCCTGAATTCCACATATTTGCATCCAACTCTTCCAATTACAGCTTCAGGTAATGAAGTCTCCAAGTTTGCTGCCCCTAATTCACTTTTGTTTCCATCTCTCAGGGCCTGAGGCAGTGAGGTGTCCTTGACTGCCAGGCCTGGAGAGGAATTGTTGTGTGTGCCCAAAATGGGAGAGCAGCAGCCAGCACTGAATATGGAGTTTGGAGTTACACACTAAAGAATTACAGCGTTATAAATATATAAAAAAAACCCCAGAAAAGCTAAAATCCTAACTGCTTCATTTTGCTACAAGCTTCCCAGTGGATTGTGGATGCCTTTTGGCAGGGCAGGAGCTGAGAGCAGCCAGGGGACTCACGGAGTGCAGGGCACACATCCTCTCCTCCTCCACGCCACAGCCCGGGCCCCCAGCAGCTCCATCCTCCCCCAGATCCTGGAGAATTGAATTCCTGGGAACTCCTCACTGCCAGGCAGCTTCAAAGCCCTGGAGAGAGAGAGAGAGAGAGAGAGAGAGGGAGGGGAAAATATCCTGGTGATGCACAGAAACCAACCATGGGAGGCTGGCAGGAGCATCATTAACCCCTCAGTGCAGAACTCGTTTATTCCAGAAATAATTCTCTGGAATTACCCCCAGGATCCCAAATTCTCAGATGTTGTGACACACGTCACACACAAAATTCCATTTCCTTTTCATTCTCTGGGGTTTTTTTTTGTTTGTTTTTTTTAATCTGCTGATCACATCTTCACGATGAGGTTTTTGTAGTGGATGACCCAACATATGGCAGAGGAAAAAAATGGGAGTCAAAAAAAAAAAGAAAAAAAAACAGGAGGAAAAACGTGCCCCTCCTGTGATCACTTGGAATTTTGGCTGCCTTTGGTGAGAGACAGAAGGAGGAGAAGGGGAAAGATTAAAAAAAGAAAAGCTGTGCTGAGTTCAATTTCATTTCTAGGTGTTTTTTCAAACAATAAAAAGGAAGCAATGAGGAGCTGGCAGGTGCAAACTGCAACAAAATAAGAATCACAGAGGAGAGAAAAATGGGAAAAATGAGAAAAAAAAAACAGAGGTAGAAAGACTGGAAAACCAGATCTGAATTAAGTTTGTAACAGGGACCTGGCACACAGAATATGTGGTTAAAACATCATTTTATGAGGTGCAAAGTTTAACACTTGCCAAAGCTTTGAGGGATTGAGGCCTCACCTGCAGGTGAAGGAAATGCATTTTTAGTGGCCCAAAATGATGCAAATTTGCTTTAATTACCACCTTTATCAGTGTTATTGGTGTTGAGGATGGAATCTCTCAGAGAAAAACCAAAACTCTTCAGTTCTTTCTCCTGGACTTCACTGAAAGCTCAAGTGGCCACTTGAGCACCCAAAGAACCGCTGAGGTTTTTATTTAAACCAGCTCAGAAATTCCCACATTTCCCTTGGGCTGGGCTCATTCCTTCCCAAATTCCCAGGACCTGGAAAGGATTTTGGAAATCCTCACCATTAAACAAAGCATTGATTTAATTTTTTTTTTTTTTCCCAAGTTGGAAAAATCCCTTCTCCACCTTTTTCCCTCCCTGAGCTTTTTTTTTTTTTTTTTTCCCTCTTTCCTCTTCATTTTCCTCCTCAGGTGTGGATCTAAAAATCAAAGAATTCTTTTCAGAATCCTGTCTAGCTTTGGTGTGGCAGAAATTCCAGTTTGCAGGAGTGCAGACACTGTGGTAACATTGACAGCCTTCATTTACATAAAAGAATACTAATTATGTTGTATCATCAACATCTGTGATTCTGCTCACTGCCATATGCGACAGTGTGGGGAATTTAACCCTTCAGCCTCCCCTGCACACCACATTTCTACTTTGGAACAACAAATTGGCCTGAAAGACACAATTTTTTTTAGGGATTTATCAAACAGCTGGATGCTCACAGGCTCTGTGAAGTCTCAGCATGAGAAATTTTCAAAAAATGGTGAATTTCTCCCCCAGTTCCCAAGGAGGAAGAGCTGCTGGGTTCAGCGGGTTCCCAGGAAATCACTCCCACAGCAGATCCAAGGAATTATTAAATAAATAAAAAAAAAACAGATTGAAGAATCCAGTTTGACAATGCAGGAGATCATTCAGCAGCCTTTTGTCAACTGCTTTGGATTTTCTGGAGCAGGAGATTTCCAGCTTGGAAAAGGGAAGAGATTCCAGACACAGCTGACAAAGCAGCTTTGTTATGTCGAAATTCAGGAATTCTCAGCACAAAAGCACCTTTGATGCTGCATTTGATATCCCCCCAACACACACCTGGTTCTTTTTAGGTATCCTCAGATAATTCCCTTACAAATCCAAGCCATAATTCCACTGGAAGTCAGGAAAAAATTGTGTTTATTTAACCCCAAAGCACTTGAATGAGAGGATTTTCCTCGAAAGTGAAGCTTCTCCTCCCACCACGCTTCAGAGTGAATCCTTCACATCCAGCATTTCTCTTGCTGACTCATATTTTTGACTCTTTCCATGAAAAAAAAAAAAAAAAAATAGGATTGGAATCAACTCTTCACGTGTTCCAAAGGCAGCTGGAGCAGCTGCAGGTCCAGCCCTGCACCCCCCAAGCAGCACAGAGTGAAATAAATCCCTGGAAATGCTGGCACGGGACTAAGGAGAGAAGTTTTTCCTCTCTTTTTTCACAAGTACACAAAAACAACTTTGCCACAATCTGCAGCTCCCAGCGGGAATTGCAAGGCTGGGATTAAAGGAGAGCAGGATTTGTGAGTCAGGAGCTGTAAACACAGGCACGAGGTGAGGGGAAAAACAAACCTGGCAGAGATCACAGGGCTGGAGCTGCCTCAGAAATCCCAAATTGCTGCCCTGGATGGGCCAAGCCATGAGCAAGACCAGGATTTAAGGATGGGCAAGGAAAACACCTTGGAAAGAAACACTCAGAGCTCTGCTCTTTGTAATTATCAGCTTTTAACTTTTGGGTTTGCATTTTTTTTTTTCCCCCATAAAAGCAGATTTTAAGGAAACTATAAAATCTTTCTTTTCTCACCTACTTAGATCTTTTCCAGAGAAGGGAAAAGAGGGAGAAGGAATCACTTGGAGCACTGCAATCCACTAAAGATGAGTCAAACTGAAATAAAATAGCAGGGAACAAAAGCAAAATAGAGGTATTAGTTCAGCTAATAACATTTTAGAGCCTATTTGAAAACTTCTCACCTTGTAAATCATTTAAACACTGGGGCAAACCCCACTTTCTTGCCTTGCATGGCTCAGAATCCTGGAAAAAAAAAAAATCCCAGTGAGATCCTCTAAGAGCTCCCAGAAGCAAAAAGCAGCAGGAACAATTTGGCTGCTGCCCCTAAAAGAGAGTCACAAGAAACCACCCGAGCTCGTTCTGCTCCTTTGTTCCATTGTTGCACGTTTGGAACCTGATTAAAGCCATCTGCAGGCATCTGGTGACAGCAGCTACTTTCTTTTTCGAAATAAATCTGCAAGAAGCCAAAAAAAACAAAAAAAAAAAACCAAAAAAAACCCACCCAGTCCAGGGGCCAGGAGAGGTGCTGGATGTTCGACCCTGGAATGCTGCTGCTTTTATTTGTCCAAAAAAGTGATTCCAGAATAAATAAGAGAGCACAAAGTCCTGGGAATCATCTGGCAGGACAGGTGGGAAGCTGAGATTGAAGGATTTTTTTTTCACTCATTCCTTCATCCCTCTCCTGGGAATGGCAGAAGTGAAGCACAGAACCATTGGGAATTGGTGCCACATTAAATAAAGCACATTTGTCTCTTTTTTTTTTTTTAACCATTTTTTGCAGTAGTGTAGGGAAAAAAAAAAAATCCTTGGATATTCTCGGTTTCCATCAAAATTCCATAAGGAATAGAGAGAATTTGGTCAAATCATAGAGACAGGGCAAGGGGGATGGCTTCAAACTGAGGTTTAGGTTGGATATTGGGAAGAAATTCATCCCTGGGAGGGTGGGGAGGGGCTGGGATGGAATTCCCAGAGAAGCTGTGGCTGTCCCTGGATCCCTGGAAGTGTCCAAAGCCAGGCTGGAGCAGCCTGGGATAGGGGAAATGTTCCTGCCCTGGATGAGCTTTAAGATCCCTCCCCCATTCTGGGATTTTATGGAATAGGATAAAAAATCCTGGATGCAAAACCCAAGCACTTCCCACCCCAATAAATCACTTTTTATGTGGAACTCTCCAATTTCTGCTGCAAACACTCCAAGATGGAAATCTGGGGATATCAGAGAAGAATTCTACTAAAAAAAACAAAACAAAAAAAAAAAAACCCAAAACTTTCTTGCCCTGATTGTTTTCACCTCCCTGTTTGTGAGGCACCAATTATTGAACCAGATGTGCAAATGCAAACTTGTAATCTGAGCTGCCCAGAAATTGGGGAATAAAATCCTGCTCCAACATTCCCCCCCCCCCCACACACACACCTTCCAGTTCTGGCAGGAGCTGTCCCAGGAGGCAACCAGGGTAAAATCCTTTATTTATGGAATTCCAGAATCACTGAGGCTGGAAAAAAAATTCCAGGATCATCGAGCTGTGCCTGATTCCCACCCATCCCTGCAGTGTCACATTCCTTGGACACCTCCATGGGGACTTCAACCCTCCCTGGTTTTCTCCTCCTATGGAGAAATTCCTCCTGAATTCTTTCTAAAGACACCAGAAATGAGATTTTTTTTTTTTTTCATGGAAAAACTCCTCATATAATCGATGAAAATAGGAATTGCTGCTGCTGCAAGGAAGGAGTGGCACCACCACACCCCCTCACCCCTGTCCTCAGAGAGCCTCGTGCTCCAGAATTCCTCACTCAGGGCATGGAAAATATCCAGGAAAAGAGGCAGCAATCTCATTTTCCTGCTCTTCCTCCAAAAATCCAGCAGGGTTTCTTCCCTTTACTCCTCTCATTCAAACCCTGCTGGGTTTAGATTTGTAAATTCCAGCCCTGGGGAGCAACAGTGGCCAGAGAGATTTTTCCAGAGAGATTTTTTCCAATTATTCTGGAGCTCTTTTCCTGAAAACTCTCAGTTTTTTATCCCTAAATTGCTGCTTTCCCTCTCTCCAGTGACACAACACCCAGCTGGATATATGAAAATTAACAAATTAAAAAGAGGAAAATAAATCCTCCACCTGGATCTCACCAAATCCTGAAAATTCCCAATTTTCCTGTGCCAGGAGGGAGGTCAGGATCCCACAGGAGCCCTGGAGGAATTCCTGCTGGATTCTGGTGTTGGATACAGGAACTGGAGGATTCCACACCTCACCCACATGTGCCAAACTCCAGCTCTGGCACAAGGGAGCTTGAGGAAAATGGGATTTTCCTGCCAATACTGCCAGCCAAGTTCAGGAATTCCAGAATTAATCCCAGTTAATTCCAACTCTGGAAGCGTTGAACTCATCCTGGGAGCTCCCAAAATCCACTCTAGGCTCCAAGCTGGAATTGTCAGGAATCAAAAGTTTTCAAAGAAATACTGAAAAACCTCAACCAAACCCAAAAAAAAAAAAGAGTCAAAAAACCCAAAGCACTTGGATGAGGAAAATCCTCTTTGCTGGATTGGCAGCATTCCTGGTGGGAATAAACAGGATTCCTGCAGGATTTGGTTCTCTGTTGGCAGATTTTGGCCCATCTTTGACTTTAGAGCACAACAAATATAAAAATAAAATATTTTCAGGTCCAAGCTCCACATGAACCAAACTGCTCCAGAGAAATGAAATGCTCAGGGAACAAAGTCCCAGGGATGCAAAACCTCTTTTCCTTAAAACTCTGGAATTCTGAGCACTTTTAAAAAAAAAAAAAACTTGCTTTAAATACAACTCGGGGCTTTGTGTAAACTGGAATGTGCTGTTACCTCACCTAGAGTGAAAAGGGAATTAAATATTCCCATTCTAAGGCTGGGATGGATAAAATAACCCAATTTTTTTTTTTTTTTTGCTGCTCCTGGGGAATTGGTGGAGCTGCACACCCCAAAAACCACCTCCCTTCTGCTTTTCCTGATGAATTCCAAGGAATCAGAGAAGGCATCAAATTCTTTCTGGGTTGGTTGGGAGAGAAATTTATGACTCCACCAAAAACCTCTTCCAAGAGCTGGAATTCCAACTGCACACAAAGGGCTGCACATGTGTCTTCTATTCACATTCCTTCCCCATGAAGATCCTTGGGAATGGAGCAGGGTTTGGAAATAATCATGGAAAAGGCAAAGAGGAGGTGAAATCCTTCAGTCCACAAAGGGAAGAGTTGTTGTGTGTTTGCACTGCCACGTGAGTTGAAAGTTTTTTAAAATTTTAAGTATTTGTAAAGATGAAATTTGAATATTCTTATTGAGCCAAGCTCAGTTTCTCATGGGAGAGATGAATACAAGTGACTAAAACCTCAAGTTTTCGCTGTATTTTAAATTTTCACCTCTTGACTTCAGCTTTAAAACTCCATTTCCAGGTGAAATATTGTCTGTATATTCCTTGGAGTCACTGAAAACAAACAAACAAGATCCACGTCCTACAGACCCCTGAAAATGTGGGAATTTCTATTTAATGACCTCAGATGTTAAAAAGCATTGTTAAAATGCAATTTATGTTGTAGTTCACAGCTTTCTAGAAGTTAATCTCTCGATTTACTCCAGCACATAAAACCTCTCCTCCCCTTTCTTTCCATCCAGGTTTTATTTTTGGGATGGTTTTTGGAAAGGTCAATAAGCTGGGAAATGCAGATTTGGGCATTAAAACAATTCCCAGCGTTCCTGAACAACTCCAGTCCTCCTGGACCAGTCCAAAGGGAAAGAATTCACAGCAATTCC